AAAGAAAGAAAAAAGAGTCACGGCTCCACTGACTGAGCCAGCCAGGTGCCCCTAAACCACCCACACTTTCAATGTCCAATTAATAACGGTAGTTCCAGCAGGTGGCCTCTGATCCCTCTTAAATTCTCACTAAAACAACAGCAGAAGGATTCAGTTCTTCCAACACATGAATCTGTAAGGACAAGGCAGACAGGAGAAGACATAGTTCAAACAAAACAGAAGCTGGGAAGTGTGAGATGATATGGCCCCGGCAGGCGGAGGCGCGGACTGACCCTCCAGGAGAGAAACTTGGACCACGAAACCCCTTGGTGTAGCATCAGCCAATGAAAGGCCCCAGGACTGGGTGTCTCTGAAGGGGGGGTGAAGTAGAATAAAAAACAGAGATTTGCTAAAACATGCTTAAGAAGCAGCTGGAACTGCATTTCTGGTTTTGGCAGTGTGGCTGTCCAGTGTGCCAGCCATCACACTAAAAATAAGCAGAAATGCTGGTTAAATTGTTTTTAATTGCCTTAAGAACCTTGAAGAATTGACTAGAAAATACGAAATCTTCGGGTCAAAATCTAAGTGAAGGCAAGAATATAAATGGTTTAAATGGCCAAGGTAAAAAAAAAAAAAAAGTCTCTTTAAATGGGATGAAAAGACCAATAACAACAACCAAAAAATCTAACTGTATGGAAGCGCTGCATTTTAAAAGTCAGAAAAAGATGCACTGGGTAGAAACTGTAAATAGGAAGCTGGTGGAGTTATCTAGAAACACACAAAACACTTGAGGCAAAAAGGGGCAACAGCAATAAAGAGCCTCCTAACCAGATGTTCAGCTCCCCAGGAAGATGCAACAATTTGAAATCCACGTGCATTCACTAACATAGTCACAAAGTAACCAAAGCAAAGATGGACAGAACAAGGAAAAGGTCAAAATACAGACTCTCATGGGAAATTTTAACACACCTCTCTCAGGAACTGATAACAAAACCAGATAAAATAAGTCATCAACAACACACATTTAGACAACATCATTAACAAAAGGAACTGACAAACATATCTGGAACACGACAGCTACAGAATTTTCAGTGCTCCCTAAAAGCAAACACAGAACATTTACAGAAGCCATCTCTTGGCCCAAAGCAGGTCTCCATCAATTTCAAAGGACTGGAATGGTACACAGCTTTGTACAGAGTAGGGAACATAGTCAATTATGTCCTGATGACTTTGTATGGTGACAGATGGTGACAGGACTTATCATGGTAACGATTTCATAAGGTAGATAAATATCAAATCACTATGGTGTCCACCTGAAATGAACACAATATTGTATGTCAGTTATTCCTCAATAAAAACAATGCTAAAAAGCTTGTTCTCTGACCAAAAGCCATCGGCCCAAATCAGTAATAGAGAACTACTTTTTGAGAACTACTAAGAAATATACTTTTTTTAAAAAAAGATTTATTTATTTTAGAGAGAGAGCGAGGAAGAGAGAGAGTGAGGGTATGGGCAGGGGGAGGGACAGAGGGAGAGAGAGAGAGAATCCCAGGCAGACTCCCTGCTGAGCATGGAGCCCAACTCGGGGCTTGATCCCGTGACCCTGAGATCATGACTTCAGCCAAAATCAACAGTCGCAGCTTTAACTGAGTGAGCCACCCAGTTGCCCCTAAGAAACATACTTCTAAATAACCCATGGGTCAAAGGAAAAGCCATGGTGGAAATGATACAATACTTGGAACTGAGTTATAATGACCAGAGCGCCTGACAACCTGCTGGGCAGCTAGAGCCCAGCCGACTTGCGGCCCTGACTGCGCCTATCAGGAAAAGGGTAGTGGCAAACGTGCTCAACAACCCAGTTCAAGCAGTTACACAAAGAACTGCGAAAGAAACCCAAAGAAAGTGGAAGACAGAAGATTAAAAAGATTAGAAATTCATGCAACAAAAACAAACGTGAGAGAGAGGCTCCTAAAAACCAGAAGCTTGTATTTTTAAAAGATTTATAAAACTGACAAATATCTCATGAAACATTAAAAAGTGAAAAAGTCAGGGCGCCTGGGTGGCTCAGTTGGTTAAGCGACTGCCTTCGGCTCAGGTCATGATCCTGGAGTCCCTGGATCGAGTCCCACATCGGGCTCCCTGCTCGGCAGGGAGTCTGCTTCTCCCTCTGACCCTCTCATGCTCTATCTCATTCTCTGTCTCAAATAAATAAAT